GACTAAACCTTAATTTTGATATCAAATTTCTTTTTGTCTTTTCTTACTAGATACCATACTTTGTTTTATCAACGGCTTAATTTAATTTTTAGTTTTTGTTTTATATATGTAAACTAATATTATATTTAGATTAAACTTAATAAATTTTAATTTTAAAAATAAATTCTGATTTTTAAATATAATAATAACCAATTATATAAAAAATAAAAATAAAAATCTAATACTTGTAAGGTAATTGTCCTTACCCTCTAAAATTTATTTATTGGCGAGGTTATTTACCCTTATCAAAAAACATACCATTGTAGTAGTAGATAAAGGTTTAATTTGATAATGCTAGCCAGTAGTTATAATTGTAGATTTTTTAATTTTTTAATATTTTAGAAATATATATAATATATTTTATATAGTTAATAAATATTTTAATTAATAGGGAAAAGTGTTGTTAAATGAAGTCAAAATGTAAAATTATCAAACTCATCTCTTAAAAAAATAAAAATTCTTTTGTTCCATGAGAACGTTTTGATAATTAAATATTTAAATTTTCATATTAAAAATTTTTAATTTAAATTATGATATAAGTAGAGGGTTGTTTGGAAAGAGCAGTGTTATTCCTTATATAGTCTATCATTCAACATTAGAAGGAAAAAAAAAAAAAAAAACACTTTGAAACTCCTTTAGAATTAGGGTCACATACCTTACCTCAGTTTTAAGGTTATTGAATAGTAACTTCGAAACCAAACTATTTCGACATTGGATATCAATGTCTCTGTTTAAATTTTTTTTTCTAAAAAAATAAATAAATTACATAATAAAAAACAAGTATCCTCCATCATTTAACTTATCTTGAACCCAAAACTTTTTCCTTACCAACTGAAACCTCATTTCACCTCTCTAATACTTAAAACCTGCCAAACGATTCACTTACCAGTTGCGCTAAACGCTAAGCAATTTGGTTCAAAGTCTATGTTTGAAATTGTAGAAAATTCGGGAATATTTTTGTTTCCCACTATGACCATATATTTCAAAAGAAATTCGTCCTTAGGGAATCCAAGAAGGTTGGCAGTGGGGTGACGGTTCTGATGAATGGGCCACCCACGACTCATCAGCAAAAGTTAAGCAAGGCCACGCTACGAGCTACCCCAATAAATTACGAAAACATCATAACTGGACCGTTCAGTGGTTGACAAATCACTATCAAATTCTACAATTTTTTTTTTTTTTTTTT